GGGGAGGGGAGGGGAGGGGAGGGGGGGGGGGGAGGGGAGGGGAGGGGAGGGGGGGAGGGGAGGGGAGAAACAACTGCCCTGGCCAGTGTGACTCGTGGTTGGAGCATCGGCCTGAGGTCAAAGGGTCACGGGCTCAGCCCCAGGTCAAGGGCACAACCCCAAGTTGCAGGTTCGATCCCCAGCCCCACTTGGGGCATTGTGGGAGGCAACCAATCAATGTGTCTCTCTCACATAGATGTTTCTCTCTCTCTCTTTCCTTCCCTCCCTCCCTTCCACTCTCTCTAAAACTCATTGGGAAAAATATCCTTGGGTGAGGATTAACAAAAGCCAACAAGCTAACAAAAGACTGACCAGCAGCACAGTTCAGCAGCACAGTTCAGCCCCCGCCGTGCAATGCCCAGCTGGTCACTTGGGTGCACGCAATGTGTTTTCCTCTCCTTGTCCCTTTCCACTGTGAAATGAGTGGCGTTATCCAATGGAGGACAGGTCACAGGCTTGGAGCCAGGGAGACGTGAGTCCACGTTCGCACAGCCAATCACCTGCGGGAGTAACTTGCACCCATCCATTCATTCAGATACCGTGAGGGCCTCCTGAAAGCCAGGTGCTTTGGGCCAACGTGGTGGCGGTGGAAAGAACAAACGATCTTTTCTGGAGAGTGAGACTGACAAGTGAAACCAACGATCCATCCAATAAGGGGTTAATATTCAAAATTTATGAAGAACTCCTACAACTCAACACTAAAAACCAACAAAAATCCAATTAAAAAAATGGGTGGAGGACCTGAATAGACACTTCTCCATCGATGGCCAGTAGACATATGAAAAGATGCTCCGTGTCACTAATCAGCAGAGAAATGCAAATTAAAGTCACAATGAGATATCACTTCATAGCTGTCAGAATGGCCGCTGTCAATACATGGAGAAACAGGTGTTGTGAGGGGTGGAGAACAGAAACCCTGTGCACTGTTGGTGGGAGTTCAGACTGGAGCAGGCACAATGGAAAACAGATGGTTCCTCAAAATTTTTTAGATGGAGCCGCCCTTTTCCACTTCTAGGTGCATATTTGAAGAAACCAAAAACACTAACTCGAAAGAATATGTGAACCTCTATGTTCATTGCAGTGTTATTTACAACAGCCACGGTATGGAAGCAGCCCATGTGGCCATCAGTAGATGAGTGGATAAAAAAGGGGTGACACAGATACACAATGGAGTATTCCTTGACCATATACAAGAATGAGGTTTGACCATTTGTGATAGCATGGATGGACCTAGGGCAGCGACTTTGACCTGGTGTGCCACAGAATTTTTAGAACATGCAGTGCCTGACTACTTAGTCAGGGGCACTGACCTCTTTTCCCTTAGATTGTCGAATAAAACCATGACAACAGCCAATACAACAATAGCTATGTGGTGTGAATGAATCACAATTATACCTACTCTTTTTGTCAGATTGGTAAAAAGTATATTTTTTGGTGTGCAGCAGAATTTTTCAAAAATTTTTTCCTTTATTGATTTTAGAGAGAGAAGTGAGAGGGAGAGATAGAAACATTGATGAGAGAGAACACCAATTGGCCGCCTCCTGCATGCCCCTCACTGGGGATCAGGCCCACAACCTGGGCATGTGTCCTGACCGGGAATCCAACTGGTGACCTCTTGGTGCAGGGTCGATGCTCAACCACTGAGCCACACTGGCCAGACACAGCAGAATAGTTGTGATTGGTATATATGTGCCATAAGATGAAAATGTTGAAAATATCTGACTTAGATGGTATTATACTAAGTGAAATAGGTCAGTCAGAGAAAGATTAATACTAGATGATTTCACTTATATGTGGAATCTAAATAACAGTATAAACAAACAGACAAAGAAGATGGAAACAGGCTCACAGTACAGAGAACAGACTGATGGTTGCCAGAAGGGAGGCGGGCTGGGGAACTGGGTGTGAGCGGCGAGGGATCGAGAAGCACACGCTGGTAGCTCCGGGACAGTCACGGGGATGGAAGGCACAGCGTAGGGAATAGAGTTGTAATGTGGTAACAACCATGTATGATGCCAGGTGGGTACTGGAAATATCAGGGGAACACTTTGTAAAGTTTATGACTGTCGAACTACTATGCTGTACACCTGAAACTAATACCGGGTCATATTTTTTAAAAACAGGAAAAAGTGAATAAATTAATCAATTAAAAAATTACCCTCCTCAGTTAACATTAAGAAAATGTCCTTGTTTATAATTCTATAATAGAACTTAATGGCTAGTTAAGTTATGGTAGACTCTTGGATTTAATATCCTAAAGAGAATGCACATGTGAAGTTTTAAACTGTATGTATTTAGTGGGTTTATTACATCGTTAAATGTAAAAAGGACTGGAATGACTTAATGCCCCCGCTTTCAACCTTTGTGGTTCCAGTTCCTACGAGAACACTCTCGGGGCCTCAGCATCTCTGAAAGGGAAGGACAACTGGGCCATCTCTAGGGTCCCATCGAATCCTAAATTTCTGTAATGCTGAGAATAAGCCAGGCAGGCAACAATTTGGACGCAGTTTATAGAGAACAGTTTTGATAAAATAGTTGGATGAAACATTTCCGAACATTGTAAGCATAGGTTCTTGATAAGAATTCATTTGAACAGACCATTAATAATGTATTACTTTATAGACTTATTCAGGGTATTTGAATATTTTAAAAAATACACAATTATAATTTAACTGGGGGAGGAGGGATAATGTAAAGCATATACTATGAATGCTAATAATTTTAGGCTACCAAAAAACTATTCTCTAAGAGACTGTTGTTAGAAAAATGAGTAGGTCCAATTTCTCCATCACTAGTGGGATTGGGATGTTGGTGATACATTGAGAAAAAGAATTTTCTAAGACTCGAATGAGAGAATGAATGGTTTTTATTCATGTGGAGTTATATTCCTGGGGTTGTCAAGTCCCAGTTCCTTTAAGCCAGTCTTGGAAAAGGGACATATGTGGGTTCCGCAAAGCCATAAGTAGGGCCAGTGTCCAAAGTTTCGTTCCATGGCGAAGTTGAGTCCACTCTAGCATCAGGCACCAGGCTAGATTCAGTCCATCTGTCTTCTGGGTGGAGTCCACATGGCCAAGGGCCACATGGGCAAATGCAGGGGAATGCCCCCCCTGCAATAGGAGAGTCAGGAACCCAGGGTGCAAGAGGGCCAAGAGAGGGCACCTTCTTTGTTTAGGAGCTTATGTACCTCCGATTTCACACCCTTGCAGGGGCCACACCTATTCTAGCCAATTGCCTGTTTCCATGTGTGATTGACAGGGGCACATTCTCCCAAGTCGCCCAGACCTGGCTGGGCATGTGTCTACACTGCCTGTGTCCAGTCCCTTCCCCCATTGACCCGCGGGGAACTGACTTGGAGAGGGCTAACCTGGAGCTCCCTGGCCAAGCTGTATAGATGGAATACAAGCCTGTGTTATCTGGTCTCCCCTTTACTTTTTCATGCTAATAATAACCAGGTCACTAACGCCATCCAGATGATCTGAATTGTTACTTTCGAGTGCAAGTTTTAAAATATATTTCTCTATGTAGAATTATTTTTGTCATATTTAATAATTCACAGTATTCAAGTTTCCATCAAGAGCGAAGTACCATATTTTACTCTTGGGAACCACAGAGGACATCCATCTGTCCATCTGTCTCTAATAATGTGAATGAATAGGATTCAAGAATGTTAAAGGTGAAAAGATTGGACACTATTAAAATACTTAATTGATTCTTGTGGAGCTTGGATACAGAAGAGATGTATGATCTTTTTTGCTTCCTGCCACACAGGAATGATTACTCCCTCTCACAGAAACGGAGAGGCATTGAGTCTGTGTCAGTTTCAACAATGTCTTGGTCTCTGTTAGCATCAGACTTGCTAATGAAGACTTCTGCAGCAATGCAACCTGATTATCATAAAGAGGGGGCATGCTCAGAGCGCCTCATTTAATACTTCACACAGTGCCTGGGCAGGACTTCACCTTTGTTCTGTCTTGATGAGCAAACTAATGGCCTCACTGACATTGAGCTAGATATCATCAGTTCCTGACTACCCAAAACAAACAAACAAACAATAGCCAAAATTCATATCTATCAAAATGTGTATGTTTACTTCCAAAAAGAATGCAGAATGACCTCATCAGAAATTTATCTGCACCTTTCTTCCCATCAAAATCCCACAGAACCATAATAATAATTGTGCCCACTCTGAAGAGCGGAATCAGGCCCCCAGAGCACACCAGGACCTGCTCAGGGAATGGGAGTTTTGCCCTGAGATAAGAGGTAATGGTGATTCAAGTGGGATCAAGAGGCTAGGCAATCCAAAGTGACAAACACTATCAGATACCTTTCTCTCCCTAGCTCTCCACCCCCCCAAATTCTAGCAATGGAAGAGAGGAAGGATGCGCCACAGGACCTGGTACTCAGCAGACGCCAGTGTCTAGTGAGCGCGGACGAAAATGGGCCCCTAGCCGCAGCCTCCCGGAGACTTCTCATTGGCTCACTTTTTCACTTGAGAAAATGGGGCAATGTGTTGAAATCACAGGACAAAATGAAAGGCTTCCGCAATTTTTAATGACTAAGTGGTTTGGAAAGAAGGCAGCCCTGGCTTTCCCCATCCGGGACATACTCGTCCAGGAAACAGAGAAAACCTGTTCGTTAATTCCTAACAGTAACCTGACCGATTTCCCATCAACTGCTCTTAGGGCGCTTAGACCCCCTCGGCGGGGAGCAGCAGTGCCACGGCCTGTGGGCTCCGTCTCCCAGGGAACCGGCCGGTCGCAGGGCGCAGTCCCCGGCGGCAACCGTCCCCGCCCCGGAGCCCTCCGCTGTCCCCAGGCGCCGGGCTGGGCGCGTGGCCCCTTTAAGGGCGGGCGCGGCGCGGGCAGGTGCAGGTACAGGTGCCGGTGCAGGTGCAGCCCGAGCGCGGCGCCCGCTGCCTCCCGCCTCCCGGGCTGCCCGGCGCCGGCACGTGGGGAGCGGGCATGGCGGCCTCAATCACGGGCCCGGAGCCCCGCCACCTCTGCGCGCAGGTAAGGGCGAGGGCGGAGGAGGAAGAGGAGGGAAGAGGCGGCAGCTGCGCCCACAGCGCCGGCCCGCGCTGGTGGCCGCACAGGCGTCGCTCATTGCGGGCTCGGCCGGCGCGAAGGGCTGTCGGGCGGGAGCGCGCCCCGCGCAGGTGCCACGGAGCCCCCGGGCCCAGCCCAGGTCCCGGCCGCGCTCCAGGCTGGGGGCCGGGCCGAATCCTCCCGGGAGACGAGGGCGGATGAACTGGTTTCCAAAGACCCCTCTCCAGCCCGGACACCCCGAACCGAAGCATTGTTCAGGCGGGAACCCCGGTAGTCACGTGGAAGCTGAAGGTGGCAGCCGTGGGGGCCGGGAACTGCGAAGGACAGTTTAGCTGGAGTACAGCGAGGCCCACGCAACCTGGGAAAGTTCACGCGGGCCGTTGGCTCTGCGCCAGGGGGTGCCCCTCTGTTGGCCCAGGGCAGGGCGTCCCCGGGGCCCCTCGCGCAGGTGTGCGGACAGGCCGCCCTCCGGGTCCCCCAGGAGCCCGCGGGCCCTGCGAGACGCCTCCTCCTTCACCCCCTGGGCGGAAGCACGAAATCACTCGTGTGGCTGCTGGGACGAGAATGAGGCGTGATGAGCAGCCCGCAGGACCAGCGCCCCCACGGCGTCCCCAGCGCGCGGGGTCTCCCGCGAGAGGGGGGGAACCTTGCGCTGTGACTCGCTACCTCTTGGAGGGCGCCCGGGCTTCGCCTCCTCCCCGCTTAGGAGCGCGCTTTCTGAGTGGCGCGACCCCCTTTTCGAACCGGGCCCGTTCAGTTGGTTTTCTTAGTGGTTTCGAAATGGAGGCTCTTACTTGAACTCAAAGGAGAACTCGTATTTGGGAGCCAGGGGTAGGCCACGCTGCACAAAACGGACCTGCATCCAACGTCTGCCAGCAGCAAACGCTTGCTTGTGTCCTTGCACCCCGAGGCCGTCTGAAGCCCCCTGAGCCTTTGTTTGCGTTTGGAGAGCAGCTTACTCCGTCTCTCCCAGGCTGTCCAGGCCCTTCGCCCCGGGGAGGCTGGAGGCCCACCTTCGCCTGGGAGCCGCGGCCCCTCCAGCTCTGCGCTGCGGGCGCTGCCAGGTGGCACAGGGACAGAAACAAGCCCTGAAATGGAGGAGTGACCGGCTGGAAGCACTTGGGTACCTGCTGTTACTAATTAAGGGCTTAGCCAGGCAGATTGCAGAGGGAAATCCAGTGTTTAAAAGTCTGCAGCCCGGAGCGTCCAGGGTGTTACTGTGCTCGGAGATCAGAGGGAATGGGGGGCGGGGGGCGTGTTGCACCATCAAAGCTGCCCGCGCTTAACGACCTACACCCGGTGCTGGCGGTGCTGATTCCTGAGCGGTGGGATTTCAGGCGCTTTTATTCTCTCTTCAGGCATTTCTGAATGTTCCAGTATTTCCCAGTAAATATGTGTTGCTTTTATTTATTTTTTAAAGATGCAGTGAACAATTTTTAAAAATTTTAATATTTACTTTTTATTTTTTATCACCATTTTTCCCCTCTGTGCCCTCTTCTGCGCCCTTCCCTCAATCCCCACACATGTCCATGCCCATGAGTTCTCTCTCTTTGTCCTTCTTTGTTCAATCCTCTACTTCAACACCCCAACCCCCTCCCCCACCCGAGCTCTGCCTGCTCTCTGAGGCGGTCTCTGTTTCGCTTGGTGTGATTTAAACAGAAAACCATTTTCGCCGAAGGAAGGTTAGCGTGGGGTCGCAGGTGCTACAGGTTGTGGTGCTGCAGGTGAAACTCACCTTTACTCCCACTCTTCCAGAGCAGCAGATCCTAGGACAGTTTTATTCCTGTTCCTCTGTGTTCCTAGCAGTAGATCCTTCTCCTCACCTGTGTTCATAACTACACCACCAACAGGGTATTTTTAACTGAATCAACATTCTGATTTAAGTTGATTAGAAGCTGTCCCGTTCATTCGAGTTACCTGGGGCGAGGGGTCCGGGCAGTGTTCTCATTTGTCTGATGGCTGTCGTTCCAAGTGTGCCAGGGCATCCATTCGTAGGGTGGGGACAGAGCCTCGGCAGGAGAGCAAATCAGTCCCTCCTCCCAAAGCTGCTTTACTGGGGGCTCCCTCTGTGCTCTGCCAGGCTCCCTGCAAACCCGAGCCTCCTGCACAGGGCCGCCTGGGGCTGGGGCGCTGCACTTCCCCATCCGTTCTGGGTCCCTTCCTACCCCGGACTCTTCCCACCCTGTCCTGCCCTCCGGCCACAAGACAGCTGACAGGGTGCAGGGAAGTCGGGACCAAGCCGGGGCCTGGTGTCCGGGGAAGCATGGGGACCGAGCCGGGGCCTGGTGTCTGGGGAAGCACCAGCCAGCTGGGAAATGGCTGGTGTGAGCAGTGACGTCTGCTGGTCAGACCCCCCCTTGCTGGGCGGCAGGCCCCTTCCAGGCCTCCTGCCTGGTGTGCCCAGAGCAGTTTGATTCGGGGCTGTTTTCCCGCCGGAGGGGACACGTGTCCCTCTCTACTTCTGCCTCTCCCCACCCCCGCCAGGTTGACGTGACATTTTCTGTACTCTTCCCCAGAGCCGCTAGTAAGTGGCGGAGCGAGTGAGGGACCTGGTCTGGGTGCCCCGGAAGCCGGTCTGTCTCACCGTGTGGGGCTGCCAGGAAAGGCGCGGTGGTGACAGCTTTGGTAAACTGAGGCTCGTGCCCTGGCCCTCGTGGGTGCCGGGTTGAGGCCGTACTTGCTCACCGGCAGAAGAACTGGAATGCACGCCCCTGGTGCGGGCGCTGGTCCAGTGGTTCACCACCTTCGCTGCACAGCCGCTGCCCTGTGGTGGCTCGGGGAGCAGCCGCGAGTGACGGGGTCCAGCCACGCTTACGCAGGTGCAAGTGGCAGGCTCGTTAAAGGAAAAGAGACCTTTCTGGTAGAGGGTTTGACAGGTTCTTCACAGCCCGGGCCACTCTGGTTTATGTGTGCCATTGTCATGTAATTAGCACCCCCTTTTTCTAAAAGGTCTGTTTGGAAGGTAAATTCAGTGGTCACCCTATCTATCTGTAGCAGACAGGTTATTTTTGGACATTCATAGGTTGCTTCTGTTAAGCAGGTTAATTCAAAAATGAAATTAGAATCACTCCTTTGATGAACACTTTGTTTTATTTATTTATTTTTTATCCTCACCCGAGGACATTTTTTCCATTTTCTGTTCAGATAGAGTGGGAGGGAGAGAGAGAGAAAGAGAGAAATATCGATGTGAAAGGGACACATCAAGTGGCTGCCACCTGCACGACCCAACCAGGGCCGGGGACAAACTGCAACCGAGGTACGTGCCCTTAGTGGGAACCGAACCCGGGTCTCTCTGGACCGCAGGCTGATGCTCTAACCACTGAGCAAACCAGCCAGGGTGATGACCACTTGTTAATGACTATTTTCAATGCTCAGTGTTTGGTTCACAAGGGAACATATTGAAAGAGGACATCCTGTGCCATAATGGTGAATTTTTTTTTAATCCTCACCCAAGGATATTTGTCTGTTTATCTTTAGATAGAATGGGAGGGAGGAAGGGAGGAAGGGAGAGAAAGAAACATTGATGTGAGAGAGACACATCAACTGGTTGCCTCCTGCACGACTTGACCAGGGTCTGGGACAAACCACAACTGAGGTACGTGCCCTTGACCAAACCTGCGACTTTATGGTCTGCAGGCCAACACTCTAACCGCAGAGCCAACCCGGCCAGGGCCATAATGGTGATTTGCACAGTCCACCCTGAAAGTGTCAAGGTGACCCGGAGCCCCATGTTGCTCCTGAAGTACTGGGAATGAGTGATGTGTGTACAATGACCAGGAAACTCTAGAGGGAGTGTCCCTCCTCAAGGGTCCTGAGAGCCTACGGCAGAAATTCCACGTTTCAAAGCTCCTTTGAGAGTGTCGTGCTGTTGTCTGAGAGGGTAACTGAGGGACGTAGAGGGGACCGGGACTGTGAAGGGGTTGATCTGCCGTGAACAGCCACCCTTCGGGTTTGAATTTCATCCTGGTTCAGACAGGGCGGGGCCGGTGCGACATTGGCGCCTGGTGGTGAACGGAAGCACCCAGGTCGCTGTCTCCGTCCATGCCAGGCTCCATGGCAGGAGATGTTTAAAATGTAAATACCGTGGGGAGAAAGGGACGGGGTGGGTAGGATTCAACATTCAAAGTTCGAGGAGACATCACAACCAAATGCAACCAACGCACAGTGCTCAGTGGGATCTCAGTTCGATCAGAGCAGCTGTTCTGTGAACCCTGGGGGAAAATCCGCAGGAAAACTTGAAATTTCAAAAGCAAGTAGGATCCAATTGCCACTAAAGCAAAAGTAAAGCCCATGAGACACATGGAGAGGAGAAATGGGGGGTCAAGCGATTCTGGTGCTAGTTCAGGTGGGATGTCAGGTAAAACAGCCGGAATGAGCCAGCGGGAGCTCACCTGTGATGACGTTAACTGCGCGCAGAACACCGGGGCCCTCGGACGCTGCATTTCCGTAGCCCTCGGAGCCGCCAGCTCACTCCCGCTACAGCTGGGTTTGTCTCTGAAACCCCGGATAAAACCCAGGACCTGCCCTTTCCAGGAAGATGAGGTCTGTGGAGCACAGCCATCTGTAGGAGCGGCGGTGTTCTGTTGTCGGAAAGTGCAGAACTCGCACGAAAGGGTTCTGTGAAGGCATCTCTGCCCCAGGGAAGCCAGGGCCTTGGTTCCAGACTCAAGCCCGCTGGTTTTTGACCAGTAGCCAGTCCCAGCCTCTGCTGTCCACCTTCTGCTTCCATTGTCCATCCACTCACACCAAGGTGACAGTTGTCCTGTTAAAGGAATCAGTCTTCAGGGAAACTACTTACACCTGTTGGAAGAACCCTTGATGCATTTTTACGTTTGGAGAACCAAGGTCACCAGACATGAGCAGAACTAGACATAACTGCACAGACCCCAGACACCGCTATTCCAGAAACAGAGTATGAAGGGGGTAGAAAACATTCCTAAAATGATCATTTTCATTGTCAGAGA